ACGCAAGCCGAGGCAGGCTGAGGCTGAGGCTGAGGCTGAGGCAGGCTGAGGCTGAGGCTGAGGCTGTGGCTGAGGCTGAGGCAAGCTGCGGCTGAGGCAGGCTGAGGCTGAGGCTGAGGCAGGCTGAGGCTGAGGCTGAGGCAGGCTGAGGCTGAGGCCGAGGCAGGCTGAGGCCGAGGCCGAGGCAAGCCAAGGCAGGCTGAGGCTGCGACTGCGAGAACAGCAGAATTCTACAACTGGATTCTCACCTAAATATTATGGGGAATGCTTCCATATATATATATATATATATATATGCTTATACACATCGCTGTTAGGTTGCTTTGCCGGGATACTCACCTTACACATCCTCGCAACTCTGTGTGACCAGGGATGCCCTGCCACATGCTGGTCTGGCCAATTTCGCCTGAGACATCCTCGCACCTCTGGTTTCCGAGATGCCCTGCGCTGAGGTGGTCAGGCCACTTTCGCCAGAGACATCCTCGCAACTCTGGGTTCTGAGAAGTCCATGTCGCCTGCGACATCCCCGCAACTCTTACCTCGGAGATGCCCTGCCCCATGATGGTCCAGTCACTTTTGCCTGAGACATCCTCGCAACGGTTCTGAGATGCCCTGAGGAGGTGGGCAGGTCATTTTCGCCAGAGACGTCCTCGCAGCTCTGGCATCGGATATGCTCTGAGCTGAGGTGGTCAGGCCACTGTCGCCTGAGACATCCCAACAACTCGGACCTCGGTGATGCCCTTGCCCATGATGGTCTGGCCACCTTCGCCCAGGACATCCTCGCACCTCTGGGTTCCGAGATGCATTGCGCTGAGGTGGTCAGGCCATTGTCGCCTGAGACAACTCCGCAACTCTGGCCTCGGAGATGCCCTGAGCTAAGGTTGTCCATCCACTTTCGCCTGTGGCATCCCCGCAACTCTGACCTCCGAGATGCCCTGCCCTATGGTGGTCCAGCCACTTTCGCCTGAGACATCCTCACAACACTGGGTTTCGAGATGCCTTGCGCTCAGGTGGTCAGGCCCTTTTCGCCTGAGACATCCTCGCGTGATCTACATTACCGGAGCGCTGACCCCATCCTTGTGTTGGATTGGTGTTATATCATGCCACACGCCTTAAGAGGTTACGGTGTTTCAGTTTGAGTGCCAGCCGCATTAGTTTCCTTCCTTCCCCTCGCGTCTCCCCTCACTCCTCTTGCCTGCTTATTTGTCCCTCCCTCCTCCTCCGATTTTTCGACTCTGCAGCATGTGCGCTCATGTGCGTTTCATGTTTTCGGAGTTTTGCCAGACTGCGCATCCGACTGTGCATCGGACTGTGCGGCATGTGCGCGCATGTGCGGCAGTGCTGTTGAGGCCTTTGTAGAGTTGCAGGGGCATGTATGTGCATTCGACTGTGCGGCATGTGCCTGCATGTGCGGCCCCTTCAGGATTTCAATCTGAATGTGAGCACTGTAGAAGTGAGCGCTAGAGAGATGAGTCCGGTGTAGTTGTGTTCAGTGAGCGTTTCGGCCAGCACAATGACACCAGCGTCGCACAGCTTGCGTTTGACTTAAGCCACATCAGTACCACCATCGTGATGGTTTACCGACCATTTCACGTCTGGATCGCACGCGTATATCGGCAGCACAAGCGTAGCGTTGGATTGGTCTTCGCAGACTGGCTAAGCGTTTCAACAGTTGAGCACTACGCGCAGAACTCCTCGTTCACGAATTCTATATATATAGGCGCTACGCCGCTCATTTTTCTGACGTGTAGGTGCATATGATGGGCCCTCATATGTTGACCGATATTGCCTGCGATGACTTCACTGCTACGAACACGTGCGCGGCGTCTAGGAAGGCCGCAGTGATGAAGCTAAACTGAATGCCTCAGTTTTCTGCAGCTGAAAACGCTGGGAACCATATCGTTGAGTTACACCGAGCGGCGTACGGTATCTTGGTATCTTTAAAATTTCCCGCATCGGGTTTGATGCCAAGGCCAGGATTTGCTTCGGCAGTCCCCTTCTCAGTTTGTCGGCCAACATCTCCATCTACTATGCATGCATATAACGGCGCACCGGGGCCCGGGCCCCTGGGACCGCGACATCTACCACAAATGGAGGTGTGCAGGCCCTTGGGGGCTCCCCGAGGCCCCCAAAACGCCACCAGAAAACACCAGTGGAGCCCGAAGACGCTCCAAGAGGGACCCGAGACGCCCAAAGGCCGCTCCAAGACGCCCAAGATGGCCCCCAGACTGCGTAAGAAGCCCCCAAGACACCCCAAGAGGTCCCCGAGAGGCCAACAAAGAGAGCCCCGGGCCCCGAGGGGCAAACATAGCCCCACTCCCTTAGTACAACGTGCATTTGTTGCATATTGTTTGTTTTCGCTGCCGCAGTGTCCTTGACGAGCTCAGAGGCCCTTAAGACGGCCCAGGAGGCGCCCCAGAGGGCCCCAAGGCGGCCCAGGTGGGCCCCAAGACGGTCCAAGGAGCGCCCCAGACTGCCCAAACGGGCCCCCAAAGGGGCCCAAGAGGAGCCTGCAGCGCCCTGCCCCCGCCCCTCGGCCCCTTCCTGGTCTCGGCCTGAGTTGCGGCAGCAGGCCTGCTCGCGCTAGGTAATTTAGGACCTCGCGCGGCCCGCTCGGACCTTACACGCCGTCGGCGCGCTCGCCTGCGGCTGGCTACACAGAAGTACCCCCCACTAGCCCATCCAGAACGATGCCCAGAGGAATTGCCTCGATCAGGTAAGTGGGCAGCACCCAGAGGAAGGGTCCCCCAGTGGAGGCCTCTTCGAGCGTCTTGGGGTGCCTCGGAGAGCTTCTTGGGGCCTTTCGGTGGTCTCTTGGGAGCATCTTGGAGGCCTCTTGGGCGCCTGTTAGGGCCTCCTCTGCGCATCGTGGGGCCCTCTTGAAGCGCTCTTGTGGGCCTTAGGAGCGCTCTCGGGGCCATCTTGGAGGACATCGATCAAACGAGAAGCAAGCATTAGTTCGCGTTGCCTCTCGGGAGCCCAAAACATCGCCTCTTGGGGCGCTCTTGGGGCGCTCTCGGGGCCGTCCTGGGGCTCGCTTGAGCCTCTCTTGGGGCCCTCTTGGGCCATCTTGGAGCCATCTTGAGGCCTCGGATGGCCATCGGAAGCGAAACGGCGAGAACGTCAAACACATATATTGTCCTACGATGTTGGCCTCTTCGGGGCCTCCTGGGGGAGCCCTTTGGCTACTTGGAGCCGTCTTGGTGCGGTCTTGTGGCATCTTGGAGCATCGTGGGAGCCATGATGGGACATCTTGGGATATCGTGAGCCATCTTGGAGGTCATCTTGGGCTCTCCCAGGCGCTCTTGGAGCCATTTTAACCCGCCCCCCCCCAAGAGGCCAACATGTGGTTAAAACCTTGGTACAACTAATGATTTGATATTCTCGCCGAGGCCTCTTGGAGCATCTTGGGTGCCTCTGGGGGGTCTCTTGGGGCCTCTTGGGGGTCTCTTGGGAGCCTCTTGGGGGCATCCTGGGGGCTTTTTGGGGCTTCCTGGCCACCTCTTGGGCACCTCTTGGGGCCCTCTTGGGGCACCCTTGGGAGCCTTGGGGGCCATCTTTGGGCCATCTTGGGCGAGATCGCTCACAGGAGGGGGGGGTCCCTAATTTAGGTCCCCCCCTCAGGAGGCCAACATGGGGCCAACACCTTTTTGTAAAACCACTGATTTTGGCTCCCTCGCCGAGGCCGTTTCGGACGCCCCAGCGCGTCGCGAAGTGTCCCGTCCAGGTCCAGGAGAGGGGTAGGGGGAGGTGTCGAGACACCCACCCGCCCGCAAGCCGTCTAGCTCACTCCCACCCGCCCTCCCTACACACAAGTAGCACCCGAGCCTGAGCATGTTCAGCGGCCGTCTTTGGAAGCCGATCCCGGGTGCGCGACGTTGGGCGAGGTGCGCCACGCGTGCCAGGGGCGCCGCGCGCGCCAGGCACTCATGGGGCCCGAGCGTGCCAGGCATGCCTGGTGCGCCAGATGCGCCACGTGCTTTGAGTTCGCCAGGTGTGCTGCACACTCCCAGCCGCGCCAGGTGCGCCACGTTCGGGGCACGTGCAGAGTGCGTCAGGTGCGCCTGCGCACGTGACAGCACACATCGGGAAACATGTCGGCCCCCGCCATCCTTGTCGAACGCCGCTGCCCATCACCATGCCTGGTGGGCATGCGCACAGCAGGCCACGCGCCACCACCCCCGCAGTCCCTGCCAAAAACCACTTGACAGTGATCGCGGGATGGCCGCGCATGGTCCAGATTTAGCATTGAGGTGCATGTTGTATTTTTTGTCAGGGCTGGTAGCCCTGCGCACAGAAGGGAATATGCTGGCACCCCCGCCGTCCTTGCAAGAGACAATACATAGTGTTCGCGGCCTCGCGAATCTGACTCAAGACTTTGCCCCAAAGTGTAGTGGGGAGGGGGCGCATCGGGTTGGCCGCGCATGCTTCAAATGTGGAGACAGAGTGCGGTTGTATTGTTTTTGACAGGGATGGTGGGGGGCGGGCCCGCATGGAGTCGGCATGGCTCCGGGTTGGCCGCGGGTCGGGTGGGGGAGGGGGCGTATACTAATCCGGAACAGTGATATACCTCTACCCTGAGCAGGGGAAGGAGGGGTTGTGGATAGAGAGAGAGAGAGAGAGAAGACAAAGCTCGTTAAACCACCTACGCCCTGAGGGCTGGTGGGATTTGGGGATAGCTGGGCACGCATGCGCACGCACACAACGCCACTGTCCGTCCTCCGTGGCCTCTCTCCTTCTCCTCCTCATTCTCCTCGTCTTCCGTGGCCATTTAAGCTCAAGCCGCGTGGGCCCAAGGGCCCTGAAGCTTGTGGCGCGAGACGCCCGCCGTGCTCGCCCAATGTTCGGGGGTGGACAGAACCCCCACCAGTGACACGTCGATTCGTGAATTGTCCGTTTTCGGTTTTCGTGAGGGCGCCGTGGCCGTTATTTTCGAGGCTTGCGCCCGCCAGGTTTGGGCCCGAAGTCGTTTTCACTAAACCACGTTTTACTAAAGGGAGGTCTGTCCATCCCCGAAATGTCATCGGCACCCAGCGTCTTCAGCGCCATCGGTAATACGCCTCGACGCATGCGCCAGTCAATGACATCGGCGCTTGCATCGGTGTCATCGGTGCTCTGCCAGGAGCCAGAGGCCACTCAGAAGCCGGACGCTGCCGAGCCCACGGGCAGTACCACTGGACGCAAGCGCCGAAAGCGTCGCAGCCCCGAAGGCGATGCACCCGGGGCGTCGGAGAGCTTTGAAGGCAGGGCGATGACAGCCCCGGAGCCGACAGACCCGCAGCCGCTCAAGGGCGAGAACGAGAAGCCCCGCAGGCGCCGCCGGAGGGAAGCAGGCGAGCAAGCCAGCGCGGAGCCAGGCGCTGCCGAGGAGGCGGAACGCCAGGTGGAGCGCCAGCGCGACCACTCGGGAGCCAGTGCTGCCGCTCGGGAGCCACGCGCAGACAAGCCCCAGGTGGAACTCCAGGTGCTCAGCGCCCCGAGCCTCGAGGACGACGCGCTCGAGCAGCCGAGGGAGGGCGCCGTGCGCCAGGCGGCGGACCGCTTCTCGGGGGAGGCAGGTAGCGCGGCCACGCGGAAGCCAGGCGCTGACGAGGGGGAGGAGTTGGACGTGGAGTCCCAGGTTCGGGCCGAACGAAAGGGGGGGATATGGAAAGGGGGGGTTGCGAAATCTGCTGCATGCAGCTGGTTTCAGTCCCACCGAGGGGCCTATTCCTCGATACATGGCAGCCTCCGGCGCCGGGAGGCGCCAGGACAATCAGCTACGTGAGCTGATTCTCAAGCCCCCCTTTTGCTATCCCCCCATTTCGCCCGGCCCGACAGGTGAAGCCCCAGGAGGTGAAACCCGAGAAGGCCGATTGGACGGACGACTTGGATATGGCAGATACGTACGAGCTCAACACGTCGATTTGGGACAGCATGATGTTTTTCGGGTTCCCCGAGCTCGGATGGAACGTGTCCTTTACGCTGCTCTTCGGCTACGTCGTCAATCTCGTATCCCAGCTCGCGTTCTGCTTCGTGGTCTATACATACATGCTCAAACCGAACGTTGATTCGTCCACGCTCAGTAATTTGCTCAAGTTTCGGCTGAGCCTCGCGCACAACTCAGAGTTCGCGGACCCCATGACGAAGCAATCTTTGGCGAGGCAGGTTTGCAGCACCAATAAGAAGGTGCACTTCGCCGCTGGGCAGATAAGCGTCTTGTCGGACGTGCAGAAATTCGTAAGGGGCGGGCCCACGCTGATGATAATCGCAGAGATCCTCTTTCTCGTAGTCATCGTCAAGGAGATGGGCGCCATCGTGCATTTCTACCAAGCCGTCATGTCGCTAGATCGGGCGGATACCACTCAGGTTAATCTGACTGTACAAAGGGGTCCTAAATTGTCATCCATTACGGCTCGATTTGAAAAGATCCATCGGATGCGTGTTCGCTTTACCTGGGCTCTCATCACCGTGCCCCGCGTCATCATTTGCGTACGATAGCGAAGACCACGATCGAGGACGCGGTCACTTTCATCAGGCTCGAGAAATGCCACGAGACGAAGAACACGAAGATCCTCTTCGCCATGAACGAGTGGGACATGCGCCCACACATCCTCGCCGCCCTCCGCTGCGAGGGCTCGGCCATCATCCATACGGGGGTCATGCCAGCGGGCTGGCTCGAGGAGGAGCTGTCGACGTGGCTCGACGCGCTCGCTCAGTAGACGGAGCTCCTGATGATCACGAACTGAAGGCGCCTGTGCTACCTCTGTCGCGTGGCCCCGCCGCGCGTGACCTCTCTCTTCCCATCCTCTTTGTTCGTTCAAGCTCGCCGCCTCGCGCGGCACCGGTCCAGACACCAGTCATCAGCATTAGATACGCTCGCCCGTCGGCCGCACCCACAGACTCACACGGCGATCGGGAGGTTGAATCGCCGAGTCTAGGAGCTGAGGTCGCCCCAGAGCATGACTTCTCGGCCGACGAAGCGGCGGCAGCAGACTTCGGACTATAGTTATCTTCTGACAGATACCATTCATCGTATAGTTGTGTGCAGAGATCGGGCACCGTGATGGCTGTCACGGAGTCTGCGCTTGAATCCCTCTTCATTGTAGTGCCGCCACCCCTCACCCCGCACAGCCAGCCACGCCGCTCGAGCACCTGCCTGTGCACGCGCTTTGCGAGTTACGGAGTCCAGCCCTCCGTGCGACGGGATTCTTTTCGAAGCGGTGGTATAGCCATCGAAGCCTTCTTTTTGCAAGACTCCAGCCATCCATTCAGGCCAGAGCACTCATCCCAGATGTCGACGAATAAAAGGCAAGACCAGCAACATCGATGACCTTATCCTCAACTGCCTGGCGACAGTCTTCATTATCGAACTAGACGAGCTAGTCTACGACTGCTTGGCACCCAGGCGGCTCAAGACGCTGCTGAACAATATGGAGCCTTTGCCGTGCCACGCACGAGTGCTGGCCAGTGCTGTCCAAACGGATCGCATCAAGGATGTCATGCCAGTGCTGGCGCCGGTCTTGAAGGTGGTTTTCGTGTGCGTGTCACTCTTTGCCACCAACGAATTGGTGCTCAAGCGATTCTTTTGGCAGCTGGAGCAAGTCGATCACATCTTGTGCTCACAGGACAGTCTGCTCGATTTTGTGTACGCTCGGAACTCAGCCAACGGCATCATCTACGTGGCCAGGTCCCATGATGCCGACGCCTGGACGGCGGACGAAGTCACCGTGTTGGAGGTGTCGATGCTTGACATTGAGCCCCGTTTCGATTGGAATCCTAGCATCTTGGCCAAGCAGCAGGAGCTCCGCAACGGCGGCGTGGAGGACCCCCCCGCTATCGTTCTCGGCCACTCGGCGGCGCTTGTCCAAGACACAGCGTTCGACGCCAGCAGCTACGACGCCCTCGAGGAGCTCGGCGACAGCCCGCTGCAGCTGGCGGCAAACATCCTCGTGTGCCACGATCTTGGCTCGAAGTCGGAGAGGCCCAGCTACCGCGCAGCCCTGCGGCAGCTGATGGGCAACGCCAGCATCATAACTTGCGCTGAGGTTCCTTGGGGGTATTGTGCCCGGCGCGAGATGACGCAGCTCAGGGCGCTGTGCCCCGTGCGCTGCAACTGCCACGTGCCCCCGACGTACGAGATCGAAGGCCAGAAGGCTCTCGCCGGCTTCTTCCAGAGTCCGCGAGGCGGGTGCCCGAAGTCGTGCCGGGCACAGCTGATGACATCCAACGAGTTGCGCTTCGTCAGAGGGGCCGCACCCAACTCGACTGGAGCGAACAGCACTGATGGCAGGTGCGCAGATGTTGAGCCAGATGCAATCATCTTTGGCGGCGATGGCAGCATGAAGAGTTCAAAGGAGTGCCTTGTCAACGGGACCGTCGCCGCCGAATGTGGCGGTTTGCCCCCAGACGCGTTCTGGTGGCTCTCGTTTGCAGCGGGCTTGTTCGAGCACCTCACGACCGACGTGGCATTTCCAGACATTGTCGAGGCCTCCGTGCAACTGGTGTTCCCGGACCTTAAAGACAGCAAGAGGCGTGAGCTTGCCAGGTGGATCTCGAACGGGAGTTTGATTGAATCGTTCCTGGATGGCCACTGGGAGCTGATGCGCGACGTACCGCACCCGCGGAACCTGACTGGGTGCGACTACCTCGCATCTTACGAGGTCAGGGTGTTGTTAAACGCCGACCTCTGCAGCGCGAGCGAGTTTTCCTCGATCCAGTTCATGTGCCCGGTCTCGTGCGGGTGCTCTCTCGGCAAGATGTACAGGTCGTCTCCGTCGTCCGACGGCGTCCAGTTCACCCGTGTTGACGACATCGTCATGGTCAGTAACAGGTTGGAGGACCTGGGCTTCTGCCCTGCCGCGTGCCTGATGACGCACCCGAGTATCTCTGGAGATTCCAGCTACGATGCCATCGGCGGCGACAGCGACAGCTCGGACGGCGCGGACGACGAGGACTACGGCATGGACGATTACTTCAACCAATATTACTACCACTACGAGGAGAATGACGACTGCGCTAACCGCGGCTCTCAGTGGGCCACGGACGCCGCGGGGTTTACTTGCAAGCACTGGGCCTTTTTTCATTGGGAGTGCACGGACTACTACGACGACACCGACTTCACTGTCTCTGATTTGTGCTGTTGGTGCGGTGGTGGAGATCGCTCTCTCTGAGTTTGTGCTTTGTCTCAGATTGCTCTTTGCATTACGATGCGTCGTATAATAATATTCTTTATCAAACAATAAGTTTCAAACCCTCTAGAATCGATATGCAGACCAACCAAAGAGTTGTGTACCTATCTGATGGCGCTGTGCGAGTGCTTCTGGCCCGTATGCGTGGGCGATGATGGTGATGCTGATGCTGATGCTGATGATGCTGATGATGATGATGATGATGATGATTATGATGATTATGATGATTATAACGATGATGATGCTGATGATGATCATGATGATGATGCTGTTGATGATGATGATGATGATGATGATGATGATGATGATGATGATGATGATGATGAGCACGACGGCTGGGTGTCGGGGTTCGGGTGTTGGGGTGACAGGGTGGTGGGGTGTCAGGGGGCTCCCACCCTTATAAGCCGCCCGTGAGCTTTATTTAAAGCTCCTTTGAACATGCTCTTCAAGAATCTGGCCCCCGAGCGGGAGAATCTTCTACGGCGCGTCTTTCTCGCTAGTGCAGGACCTCGTCGAGGGCACCCCTCGTCGAGGGCACCCCTCGTCGAGGGCACCCCTCGTCGACGTCCTTTTCTTCGTGCTCCTTACTGTCCTCCGTCGTCGTCGTCGCCGTCGCCGTCGCCGTCGTCGTCGTCCGCTTCATTCCTCGCGCGTGTGTCCTCCTCCGTTTTTTTTTTCTCCTCCTCCTCTTCCTCCTCCTTTTCTTTTCTTTCTGCTTATCTAAAGGCTGCCGCCTCTGCCGCCGACCCCTATTGAGCGATGTATGTTTGAGTCGTTTGCTGTCGGGATGCGTTTCCGAGCACGGCAGGAAGGGCTCAGGTGAGACATCCAGGCCTGAGCCTCGCACCCTGGACTCCTGATTCTCTGTTGCACCTCTGTTGGTCGTGGGTATGAAGCCTATTTAATCGCTTCGCTCATTCCGCCGGCCCTGGAGCGTTCTTTGGGGCCTCTTGGGGGCCTCTTGGGGGCTTCTCTTGAGAGCCTCTTGGGGCTCCTTGGCGGCGTTTTGGGTTGGGGCCTTTTGGGGCGGGAGAGGGGGTAGTCGATTGCAGCCCCCCCCCCTTCGGAGGCCACGATCCTCGTGAGGGGTGCCGAAAAGTAGCCTCCCCCCTGGGGATCGCCCGGGACCCGGCCGGGATCGGCCGGGGTACGTTTCGTCCGGGGGCCCCCAGGGGCCGCCCCGTGCGCGCGAACTAGAAATATTGTCAAGCAGTTGCCGGAGATCTTAGCACGCCTCGAGGCGTGGGGCCAGATCTGGCCCAACGGGCCAGATCTGGCTCGTTGGGCCGGCGAATTCGATGTTCGTTGGGATTTCGTGGGGGACCCTTTAGGGGGCGTCTTGGATGCAGTTTTGATGCCTCTTGGGGGCAGTTTTGAGCCTCGTGGGGTCGCTGTTGGGCCCCTTGGGGGCCTCTTGGAGCCTCTTCGGGCCTCTTGGGTGCCTCTTGGGGCCTCCTGGGGGCCTCTTGGGGCGGAACGCTAGCATTGTCGGTGCGTGTTCCTTCCCTTGGGCCACTTTTGGGGCCGTTATGGGGCCCTCTTGGGCCGTCTCGGGCGCCTCCTGGGCCGTCTTGGGGCGCTCGAGGGCCGTCTTGGGGCCTCTGAGAGGCCTCTTTCTTGGGCAGTCCTGGAATGGTATTGGGGACCTCGGGCCGTCTGGGATCTTCGGAAAGGAAACAAGGCGAGAACGCCAAAATCTTTCAAGCAACAGACGCAAATCAATGACTTGTGCCTCTCAGGGTCCTCTTGGGAGGCATCTTCGAGGCCTCTTGGGACATCTTGGAGGCCTCATGGGCCGTCTTGAGGCCACGTAAGGTGTCTTGGGGCAATCTTTTGGCGTCTCTGGGCGTTGGCGTCCGTCGTGGGCCTCTTTGGGACCCGTTGGCTTGTTTTGGGGCTCCCATCGCTCCGAAACAGTCACGCGAGAAGCCCCAGGAGAAGATTTCGCGATGTGGGGCTTGGGTTTCTGAACGACTCCTCAGGGTAAGAACCTGAGGGCACGCCCACTCCGTTCTCAGAGGCACGGTGGCGGATCTACAGAACCATGCTATTTCGATGACCATGGTTCTGATGGATCGCATCGCATCTCCGAGCTCCAATGGGGAAGCCGCTTGGGGGTATTTCAATTGGGTTTTGGTTGGAATCGTGGGGGGTTACAGTGACTCGGGTTAGCGGTCGGTAGATTGGGCGAGGTGGCACATTTTTTCCAGGAGTAACGATGATCCCATCCACGAATGGGCAAAATGGGGTTCGACAAGGAACTTCGATGGACCATCTCCTTGGCAGAAGGCGGGGGGGGGTCGAGCTAGGAGACCCCATGCGAGAAGTTGTCCGGATCGGTGTCGGCGAAGCCATAATCGTTATTTTGGACCTTGAGGTGCCGCCTGTGAGGCGGTCCGTTCGGTCTCGCCTGAGGCCTTCCTGCAATTGTGGGTTTGGAGATGCCGCGCGAGAGATTGTCCAGCCTATTTCGCTTCGACATCCTCGCGCTGTCCCGAGGTGGTCCAGCCCTTTTGGCTTGAAACATCCTCGCAGTTGTGGGCTTCGAGGCACGCGAGAGGTCCAAACAGCTTCTCCTCACTCTTGCGACTCAGGGCCCACGGATGCCCTGACCTGAGCTGGTCCAGCCAGGTTCGCTTCACACTCCGTCACACCTCTGGGCTTGGATATGAGCTGGCCTGGGGTCGTCCAGCCATCTTCGCCCGATGCATCATCGCTATTCTGAGTTAGTCGATGCTCTTGCCTCACTGTATCCTATCCCGTTCCTCGCTGTTCGGGGTTCGCAGCTGCCGTTGACTGTTCGTTTCGCTTGAGATTTCCTTGCAACTCTGGGTCCATGTACTGAGGTCCTCACCTCACGTGGTCCCCGTCCTTTTCGCCTGGGAGATCGTCGGGACTAGGTGGTTTAACCATTTTTGCCAGATATCTCCCCTTTCTGGGATCAGAGATGTCCTGTCAATGCTGCCGCCGATGACCCATTCGACAATTTGTGTCACTTGTCAGATGAACACTCGGGGAGAGTGGAACCCTCCTTGTTGCCAGTGGCAGATATGTCAATCGGGGCCACTTGTCGAACAGGCGAGGGTACTGGGCATTACATGTGGCGAGTTGCCCGTTCTCTGCCGGGGGGATGTGGGGAGGAAGTGATTTCAGACGCTAGTCTCCCAGAGGGGTGGGCGGATTTTCCTTACCTCAGATGCCGTGCGGCATTTCGTCGGAGGGGAGGCCCGACGATGCCCCATCCGCAAGACTACTGCTGCTGCACCTCGCCTTGTCTTTGCGCCCAAGAATGAGATCACTTCGCCTTCAAGGCCGGCGGTTTCGGAAGTCATGGAGCGTCGTTCGCGGGAGGGGTCAGTGATGTGCCAGCAGCAAGTTTGGCCAGTGATATGCCAGCAGCAAGTTTGGCTTGGCCAATTTAGGAGTTTCGATTCCTGGCCGATCTGACTCTTGGATGCAAGTTTTGGCCCGATCCGCCGTGCACCATTGAGGTGTCTAAGGATCCAATATGAGGACTCGATGGGTGAACCTCTCGCCCTCGGCGAAAGCCAACGCAAGTAAACCGAGGACGGTGCCGCTGGCGGAAGCTCGGCGGAATCTGGCGGAGGTGCAGTGGGAGACTTCATGAGAGGTCAACGCTGGCTCCCCAACCGTTTTCGGAGGTTGCCAGGCGTCGTCCCGTTTTCCCCTGTCGTTTCCATGATTCGGACTGTGGACAAGCCCTGTGCCGAGCTCGGTCGCCCAACTCAATGACGGCGAGGTTCAGGGCTGGGCGCGCTCGGGCCGCCAATACCTTAGGAGAGCGGTGGATGCGGCCAGCCGCGAGCTGCGACCATGGGAAGCGGCGAGGAGGATGAGGAGGAGGAGGAAGAGGAGGAGGAGGAGGAGGGAGCAGGAGGAATAGGAGGAGGAGGCCCCCGCCCTCTCTTAGTGCTTCTTGCAAGTCACGTGTGTGGAGAAGCCTTGCTGAGCCCTGGGCGTTTTCAGACGGCCCAAACGACCCCAGGACCGCCTCAGACGCCAACCAGAGGGTGCCCATGGAGCCCCTGGGGGCCCAACCAGAGGGTGCCCTCGAAGCGGCCCCGATGCGTCCCAAACGGTTGTGAGCCCGACCAAGATAGCCCACAGGGCCCCCGACAGACTCCAAGACCGCCACCAATTGCTAACAGCGGCGCTCCACACGCCCCAGGCGGCGCCCACGCGGCCCAAAATTGCTTCCAACACGTTCGAAGATACATCGAAGGGCATAGAGGGCCTGCGTGGCCAAGGGAGGTTTTGAGAGAGTTCCAATACCAGTGAAGGTTTAGTCACGCCAGAGGAGGACGAGGAGGAGGAGGAAGAGGAGGAGGAGGAGGAGGAGGAGGAGGAGGAGGAGGAGGAGTAGGCGGAGGAGGAGGAGGATGAGGAAAAGGGGAAGGAGCAAGATGAGGAGGAGGGGAAGGAGGATATCAAACAGGAGGAAGAGGAAGAGGAGGCGGAGGAGAAAGAGGAGAAGGAGGAGGAGGAGGACGAGGAGGAGAGGGATACATAAGTAGTAGTAGCAGTAGTAGTAGTAGTAGTAGTAGTAGTAGTAGTAGTAGTAGCAGTAGTAGTAGTAGTAGTAGTAGTAGCAGTAACAGCAGTAGTCGTAGTAGTAATAGTAGTAGTAGTAGTAGTAGTAGTAGTAGT